ATCTGATTCTTGACTGCTTCCTCCCCCAACATCTTCCAAAACTGTGGGAAATAGAAAATGTTCCGCTTATGAGTTTTCCTATGTCGAAGGGAAGAAACTATTTCCAAACCCACAATCCTATCACTCTTGTCTTTTATCTGTAAGGGGTGGTAAATTAAGCAGGCGGTATTTGTTTTCTCTACTCTCCTTGGTTTCCTCCTAATCTCCATCCTTACCTCCTTTCCTTATCCTTCCTCCACCCCCACCAATGTCCTCAATCACCAAAAGCCCATAAATTAAAATTGTAAACAATTCCCCTGAAAGGTGCCTTCCTGATGCTGTCTAAAACAAATGCAATCTTCTGTTTGGGCATTTAAAACACCACAAGCATTCTTACTTAGATTAAATTGTGGGTCTCCCTGGTCTCCAGGCATGCCTAGACATGAACCATAAAGGGAATGAGTCCCTTGGAGTTTCTCTAGTAACTGCAGGCCTAATCAACAGCAACCATAAGAACAAGCATTCATTCTTCTTTTTTTTTTAATTTCAGTGTGAACAGTATGAGGCCACACACATTTTTTTGTCATTATTTTAATTTCTTAGTTGTATGACATACTAGAAAACTGCATTTAAAAAAATTATTTCAGTACGCAATGCATCTTGAAGACTTTAATATATGAATTTTCTTTTTTTTTTTTTTTCACTACCCTTGAAGAAAAGTTTTAAAAATCTAATTTGTCAAGACATCTACCTAAACCATTGCCTTGGATGACAGCACTCCAATTCAGGTATGATATTTAAGATGCAACTAATAATCATAAAACATCAATTGGGAAGAAGTATTAAATACTGAATTAGGTAAAAATGCTACCAATTTGGAAGAACGGAATTGTTTTTAACAACTATGCCTCAACCTAAGAGATTTTATAAGTCTGCATACTTGTTAATGTAATGGAGTCTATTTCACTCCTGATATATATATATATATATATATATATATATATATATATATACAATTACAAAGTTGGCTCTGTAGTTATCTTGAGGTAGCCCAGAGGTTAATTAGTTCTGATTTCAACATGCAGCCTGGTATGATTTGGTAAACTATACATTTTAATGAGCGAGTGATTTACTTTACACTTCATTTTGATTTCTTACTCTTCACTTTGGAGTTCACAGAGCAAACCACACATCTGGCAGAAATGTACTTTCATACACAAAGATAATGTTTTAACTCAGCCAAACTCATCATTTTGAAGTACTTCTCTCATTTACTAGTGGGACTTTGGACTATGTATTGAATGATTCAGTTTACTTGGTCCTATCCATGTTGCCCGTGGCATCTATGAGGCCATTTGCTGAGTTTAGCAAGCCAATCTACAGCTACTAAATTTTCCTAGTGGAAAACTAGCCTTTGGGGTCAATAGTGAGTACACTACACTGGGTGCATGAAGATTATATTCTAGAGAATCTCTCACAAATTGAGTTCCACAAAATGTGTAATCAGACACCATTCCTTTTCTTCTCCTGAGTAATTCATTGAAAAGAAAAGAGGGGAAGGAGTAAATAAAGAAAGAATTATTAGTACAAGTCTCTCAGAAGTCCTCTGTAACTGCTTTTGTCTGACCTACTCTAGATACACATATAAACACATCTACATCTTCAGAAATGAAATTCTGAGAATAGGAAAATGTAATTCCTTACAAGACATTGTTTCTCTGGCCTCTGCAACCCTCACCCTAAATATCCAAATTTGCTCTTGCATCAAACCCTACTCCAGTCTCACCTCCTCCCCATGAACCTTCCCTGACTGATCTCTCTCCTGCTTCTGTTTCTACCAGTTAGGTCTACACAGTTTAGTGATTTGTTATATACTGTCTTGAATGGTAAATAACATGTGTCCACTTTGTGTTACAACCATAATGTGCATTTGGAGGGTAGGCTAGCCAGGCCTCATACTTCTTGGGTGCTGAACATACAGCAAGTAACTAAATATTTGCTGGAAGTAGAAATAATTCTACCTAAAGTTGACCTTGAGAGTTCAAAACTGTGGCCTTGATCTCAAGAGGACCACACTTTGATCTTAATCAAGGAGCTGGCTGGCTCTCTATTTGAATGGAAGATCCAGCCATCGCCTCATTGCAAGGTCCCCCAGGAGGATGAGGCCAAGTTCCCAAGGGAATGCACAGGCACAGATAGGTCTCTCAACAGGCAGCCTTCCCACCTGTCAGAGGCTACCCAGGCCTACCTCCATTTGAAAAACCAGGCCTACAATTTGAGGTATCTGGAAATCTATTTTCCTTGAATAGAATGGATAAGAAAATAGGATGGGCTTCCTGGGCTTCTTGGAGAGATGGGGAGAAGAGGAGCTCTTCCC